AAATAGTGTATACTTTGGCCTTAATGTGGTTAGGAACTTTAGGGCCAATGTATATACTATTCAAGTACATGGACCCTTAGGGCCTCTAATTTTCAGGGTATCTTCTGTGACACTCTTGTGAATTATCCGGGTCCGTCTCCTACACCCCTACCCTAAAACCCTAAAACCCTAAACCCTAAACCCTAAAACCCTAAACCCAAAAGAGCAGGTCACTCGTTAAAGGGGATTCTGCCTGGGGCGGCGCTCAGGGCTGAGAAGCCTCACTCTTAGAGCCTTTCGCGTTTAGGATTTCGGGGTTAGGGGTTTAGGGTTTAGGGTTAGGGCTCAGGGCTTCGTAAGTAAGTAAAGTAAAGTAAAGCAAAGTAAAGAAAAGCACAGGACCGTAAAGTAAAGTAAGTAAGTGTGGTTGTTTTTGCCTCCTGCGCTGCTCGATTGAGGATTTGAGTTTGGGGTTCGGGGTCTCGATATAGAGTTTAGGGCACAGGGTCTCAAGTTTCGGGTACCGGGTTTAGGATTGACGTTTCAAATTCTAGCCTAACATCACCAACTCTGTAGAGCTTGTAAATCTGAATCGTATCGTCTTGCAAAGCACTATATGCGCCCTCCAGCCTTGCTGGCCCACGAATGCAGGAACAGGCCGATATAGTGAAAGTCCCGGCGCTGGAGCTGTGCATCCTCAGAAGATACGGGGTCTGGTAGTTTAAAGGTTTCGGGTTCAGGGGCGCCAGGGAATTCGCGGTTTGTGGTCTAGGATTCGGCGGTTTTAGGTTTTAGCATTTGCCTTGAGATGCCAGCTTTTTCAAGACCTACCTTAAGGAAATCACACAAGCAACCCCAAACGAGTGGAGTTTTCGCGGTTCAGACAGGTATGGAGGTGAAGGGTGCGAAGATCTTAGATGCCTTCGCAGATCGGGAACCCAATCGGTAGAGTATTGGCACCATCAATCCTTAAACCACACTTGAACCCTGAAACCTTGAATCCGAAAATACACTAAAAAACTAGAGACACTCTGTCCCATCTCATGAATGTGGCGTTGCACTGCTTAGGGTACCTGTCCGCCCGACCTAGGATTTGAGGTGTGACGTCCTTGCGGGATCGAGGTCGCAAACAGCCGCCCGCGAGACTGTGAAGTGCAGCTGGGAAATGGCCGTCAGACCCCAACGCCCCAAAACCGTGTAAAGTAGGCGCAAACCCAACAATAAAAGCCTGTAACGTTTACTGTAAGATATCCTAAGCTAATTTCTGCAGGCTCTTCATATACACCATACTACAAACTGCGAGGAACAGTAGCTTCTGGTAAACTAGCAGACCCGCCAGGACAATATCCGAAAAGCCCTGAAACCTAAATATATATATATATATATATATATTTATATTTATATATATATATATATCCCAAACCCTATACCCTAAACCCCTCAACCCTAAAAGCCAAACCCTAGAACCCTAAACCCGGAACTTAGACTCCTAACGCTTGAACCCCGAACACCCTGAACGCCGTATTCCGACATTCCTAAAGCCTAAACCCTGAACCCGAAACCATAGACCCTAAATTCTACACCACCACAAGACCCTCAAGCTTTGAACCCTTAATGCCGCTATTCCTTAAACCGCAAAGCCTGAACAACCCTTTTTGAGGAGGGGCTGAAGTGCACATGCTCTCATGCCCAACCTGGCTTTGAACCCTACGCCCTGAAACCCTACAGCCCTAAAGCGACAAGCCGAGCTTCCCAGCCCGATGGCTCCGAACAACCCAAGAACTCTGCCGAAGACAACACTCCTGGGCTCGGGCTTGCTCACGGCTTTATGGATTTGGGTTTAGGGTTTAAGGTTTAAGGTTTAGGGTTTAGTTTAGTTTAGGGGGGCGGTAGGGTCGAAGCTGTAAGGGCTAGGGACCGGTTTAATGTTTGGGTCTTCTACTGCTGTTGGGCGTAGGGTCTGAGGTGTAAGGTTTCGAGCTTTAGGGTCTTTAGGGTCTGAATGCCCGGAACCCGACGGATGGGCCTTGCAAGCCAGTCCGGTAGATCCCCAAGCATGATACGAATCTTCTAAGCCTAAGCTGAAGACCCACAAGCCCCCACAATAGAAACCCAGAGGGTCCATGTGCCCAAATATCATATACATTGGCCCCAAAGTACATAGGGACCACTTGAAGGCCAATGTATATCTATTTGGGTACGTGGACCCTTAGGGGAAATGTAAGAAGATACCCCATGGCCCTGTACGCCTCGGCATCTGCAACTCGAAACCCCCTCAGCCCACAAGCCTTACAAGACTTGCCACTTGAAACATCAGGTCAGGGTTTAGGGTTTAGGGTTTAGGGTTTAGGGTTTAGGGTTTAGGGTTTAGGGTTTAGGGTTTAGGGTTTAGGGTTTAGGGTTTAGGGTAGGGTTTAGGGTAGGGTTTAGGGTTTAGGGTTTAGGGTTTAGGGTTTAGGGGTTAGGGTTTAGGACCTGCAGTGCTAGCTCTGCCTGCCAGGCGGGAGACCCAAACCCCTACGACACTCTTCGCACCTTTGGCGCCTGGATCCTCCTCTGGACATGTCTAGCTGCGACAACCCCAAGCCGTAACTGCTAAACTTCCTCTTTTTTTTTGAAATCGGACTTGATAAATCCTAAACTTCCTGAACCCTGAATCCGAAGCCCTGGCGGCCATAAAGCTTGATAGCCGCTGCTGCCCCAATTCGACTTCCACCACGGGTCTAAGGCTACAGGCTTTTGGGATGACTGCTGCCTTTTGCCTGGACCCTAAACCCTTACAAGCCTGAATACGTCTCGTTGAGATCCTGGGGCTGCCATGCTTGAGCAAACTCGGAATAGAACCCGAAGGGCCTTGAGAAAACCTCCCCAACTTGAAATCTGCGTTGTAGCTTCGGGCTCCCCCCAAAATATGAGTAGGTACCTCTATAGGAATAGAACGTTTCCCAAAGTGCCAGAAAGAAATGATGAGCCAGAAAATCCTCGTCCAAGGCAGCCGAGTCTCTGTCCTGGTCGAGGTCGCAGCTGACGAAGCCATCGCGCAAGACCTTCCGCCGGCTTCTTTTGAAAAGATCGGCTGCGGATGTAGGAGCTGTATAGTACAAGAGTATTCAACATACCTATAGTCTCCATTGTAGTTCCTTTGGGGGGATTCCTGTATGCGAAAAACGCGTTCAACCTCTGAGAGGAACTGTCAGTGAACTTGTCTCCAATCCCCTTCGAAAACACGCTTTTAAATCACCCAAACCACGCACCACAAAGATTCCCAAAACCCTCATACCCTAAAATTGTTCCCCCTAAGCCCCGGCGCCTTGCGCACGTGGCCCTCCTCTGCAGCTCCGGCCAGGTGGAAGGCTACCCGCAGTGCAGGCGAAAGGCTCTGGAAAGAGGCATCCAGCAGCGCGGAGATGTTTGGAGCCTTAACGTCTTGCAGTAAGTGTCCAGGCTTGAGGCTTGAGGCCTGAACTAGTGAAGCTGTCAGGTTCAATGAACCCTAAACCCTAAACTAAACCCTAAACCCTAAACCCTAAACCCTCCATGCACCAAAAACTCCCACCCACCTGCTCTTCCTCGGGAGACTCCATCCCTCCGGCTCTTCGGAGTGTCGCCAGCAGAGGCCCAGCCACAGAGAAGAGGCGCTGGTCTCTGAGACGGGCTCGGCCTCAGGACCCTAAGAGTGTAGGGTTTAGGGTTTAGGACCTAAGAGCACTAAACCCTAAACCCTATTGGGGTTTAGGACCTAGGAGCACCTCCAAAAAGATGACAGAACTTCATGGACTCAGAAGGCTTTATTTCTGGTATGATGCATAGTTACGGGCGCCTACGGCTTGCTCCTGTTGTCGCGCCAGGTTTCGTCAGGCTCTGCAAGTAGTCCACACTAGTTCGCATTTACCCCTTGACACAGGCTTGATTGGAGCTGGCCCGGCCAATTTCCCTCGCAGCACATCGCACTCGTTAAACCCCCGACAAGTTCAATCGCAACACGATCCTCAAACTCAGCAACAGAGACCCTATAAACCCTTGACGACGAGCCCTATAAGCCCTTAAACCCTAAACCCTAATCCCCTGGGCCCCTGAAATGATACCCAGTTTCGATCTCTGGCCACTTGCAGCTCCTCGGCCGCCCAGTCGAGAACTTTCTCTGGGTCTTCGTGGACGAAGAGATCCTTGCGACACGCCGGGGGCCTTATCTAGGGTTGCAGGCATTGCACACAGACCCTAAACCCGAACCCTAAATCTTAATCTAAGTTTCCGGGAGCTCGCTTGTGTCACGCGGCAGTGTGGCCCGAGGGGAGGCTTAGTCCCAATGGCCCAATCGAATCGCCAAACAAACTGGTCTATGTTTCGGGTTTTGGGCCTGGGACTAGATTCTTTCCTGACCCTAAGGGTCCATGTACCCACATAGAATATACTTTGGCCTTAGAGTAGTCCCTATATAGGTACTTTGGGGCCAATGTATATACTATATGACCACATGGACCCTTAGGGTAGACTTTAAACATCCCGAACTACAGTACTTTGTTAAGGGTTTAGGCTTTGGGGCGTGCATGTTGTGCAGGGAAACGATCCTTGCGTCGATCACGTGGGCCCAGGGCATCGATGTAATGGTTTACCCGCAAGACGTCCTTAGTTGCAGAGGTTCCCTGTTTAGGGCTGAGGACGCATCGCATGATCCCCGAAGGGGCTTAGGATTTAGGGTTTTGGGGCTTGGGGTCTGAGCAAACATTTGCGCTAGGATGGAGTCATCACCTCAAACCCTAAAGCGACAGGGGATACAAGGTACGAAGCTACTCAAGACTTCATAGCTTGGTTTCCGGCTGGAAGAAGTTCATCTGCTTCCGTGGTGGCTCAGGCCAGGCGTTGGTGGTATTTACCTGTGAGCCAGAGAGGATGGCCCAAAAAGGGGGGGGGGGTATGGGCAAGTCCGAAAAACGAGAAAGTAGTCTTGTCAGCACAGATACGGACAGCACGTGGTCTGGGTTGGCCCCAACGATGTGCCAATACCTTTGAAAGGAATCTGCGACTAAGAGCAAGTAAAGCAGGACAAAACCTTTTCCACCCAGCCCCACCTCTTGCAATACTCCCCGCACATGCGCGCGTTGCACGTACTTCGGATTTCTAACTGCACCGAGGAACAGTTTTCCAGTGTGTCGCCGGAACTGTCGGATCAGCGGAGAGTCCTCAGACGAACCTGCTCCTCCGTAGTTTACAGCTGGCAGCCGCACTACAGTAGTGAGGTTGTCTGGTCCTGCCGCCGACATCCATCGCCTGAACCCGCCATGCCTGTGCCTTGCGGACACGAGAAACTCGTCAAAAGAGTGCAGGGAGAAGACCATTGCTGCCCTCCCACGATATCGCCAGAAGCACTGCGTTAAAGCAATGGCCTCCAGGCAGATTGGATTCCACCAGTTGCCTTCAGCCAACCGCGGGGAATTCAACATGCTTGGAAGATTTGGCTGAAAGTCAACGTCTTCCCGGCGAGACAAGGCTGCAGCACCCGAGCCATCGAGATCGTAAATCGTCCAGTGCTCGATGCCCATTTTCTTGTGATAGTCCAGCCAGTCCTCCAGCAGGTCTCGATGTGATTCAAGCCGGTAAAGCGGCTGGGGACAAACCGCGAAGTTGTATTTTTGTACCACTGGCTTCAGGCGGAGGCTCATTCGCAAAGGTCTGTGCCAGCGTACGGGATCAACGAGTCTCACCTGCCGGCTGATCGAACTTCTTCCTTCTGGCTAAGTACTAGACTGTACTGACTGTACCATCCCCCTGACGGCCGTCTAAGATGCCCTCGATTGATATCCAAAACTTCACTCGTAAACATTGCATATATTACAGGCTTTTCGGTGTCGAGCAATTCTACCGCATGCATTACTTCCAGTGCTACATCGTGGGTCGTGGTACTGTAACAGGCCTCCCTATCGGAATCTGCGAAGCCACGGGACCGGCGATGTGAATCCCCCTCCGGGGATAGAGAACCCTAAACCCTAAGCCCTAAGCCCTACGTAAAGGGACCCCAGAACAGACCCCTAAGAGCATCGCACCTCCCCACCTCGAGCTTCTTTTGCTTTGAGGGGAGGATGCAAGACCAAGCAGCCGGACCGTAGGGAGGGTGCAGGAGGAGTCCCGAGGTCATGAAGGCCGGGGTAAGCTTCATTTCCTTGCCGAGCTTGTTGTGGGTTTATAGGGATGCCAGTTTCGGGAACTTTAGGGCCTTTTTTAATTTTAGGGGTTTAGGGTGGAGGGTCGTCGTCTAGACTGTGGCTTTACTCTCTCCAGAAGAAACCAAAGCTTGCCTCCGTCAGAATCTTAGATGCTTGCTGGCCGGAAACCCCAGGGAATATGCAAAAGACATTGTGGAAGTGGGAGAAGAAGTCCATTTCACATCGGTTCTCAGTCATCACGTTGAAAAATCCACTCAAATGTCCTGTTGACTGCAGCTGCTCCATGAAGACCAAGACATCCTCGATTCCCCAGTAACCTCCTAAATAAGAAGGGACGGTTCAGCTCTGATACGGATGCCAAAAGGGATAGAAACACTCTTGGGGGGACCTAGTGTCCAGAAGTCGCTTCCTGCCTGAGCCCATCAGGTTCGCACATCTTCGTGTTGATGCTGCAAGTCCTATCGCCGCCAGATGCTCATCGCGGACTGTCACCCTCGTCGCCATGCCGTCCTCTAGAAACTTCAGAATGAGATATAGGCTATAGGACTCAGCTCCCTCACTGTAAAATTGGCCCCCGAGACGCGAAAGCAGTCGGAAAGTCCTGCGCCGCTGCTCCGCGGGGATTTTGCACGGAGTTTGACGTGCCCCATAACCGTACGGTAGAACCTCAACCCTCAACCCTCTCCCAGCCTGCACTCCGAAAATCTCACCTCAGGCACCCAAGCCCTCAACGGGGTAGGGCTCACTCAAGCCGCTGAAGTTTTCCAAAGATCGATCGTTTACATGCTCTTGCAGCAAGAGCCAAACTTCAGAAGTTTCTGCACAATCGAGCGTCTAGCTCCGCGGCCGCCACAGTCCCAGAGCAAAACGTCTCGAGATCCTCCCAGGCATCGGCGTCCGAAGACGGGGCCAACTTCGCGAGCGCATTGAAAAGCCGAGAGGCATCCTTTTTGAGAGGCCACCAGGATTCTCCGGTTCAGTTTTTATAGGGCTTGAAGATGCAGCGTTTAGGGGACGTCGCAAGGGTTCAAAATCCATGGGCAGGGGGGATAGGATCTTCGGGTTTTTGAGGTGTAAAATCTTCGGGCGCAGAGGTTTAGGACCTTATGGTTTAGGGTTTAGGATTTAGGGTTTAAAATTGATTATATTGAATGTTTAGGGTTTCGGGCTTTAGCAAAAGCGTCTTCCTTGGATTACTGAGGCTTTTCGAAGACAGGGCTGCGGGTTACCATGCACTTCAAGGTAGTTCATGTAAGGCTCTTTACTGCGACATATCGTTATACAGGTGTCTTGCTGTGATTATAACCCCCGCCAACACACATTGCTTTGGGTTGCCTAGATAGGCACTGATACCCTTCTAGGATCACGCCTTCATCCGAAGCATAGAGGACAGCCGACCATCAGCGGCGCATCCTGAGACAAGCCTCTGCGCCTTCTGCAGTGCCTTCGGCGTCCTGGGAAGGGGGTTGGGTTGAGGGAGTTGCGTTTCGGCATCCGGGCTTACAGGACTGCGTTTGTTAAAGTTTACATAATAACGGTTTAGGGGTTTAGGTTTTAGGGGTTTAGGGTTTAGGGGGTCCATGGGGGTTGAACCTTGCCACTGCCACTTTGCCCAGCTACCCTGAACCCGGATGCTTTCGAGCTTCTTTTCCAGCAGAAGTGCTGCCTGCTTCAAATTGCAAGTCGCTGAGACCGCGGCGGATGCTGGACAAGCCTGGAGTGTCATCAGAGAAACGAACCAATCTCACCCAGCTGCCATTGCAGAAAGCATCGTGTCTAGGCTACACTGACTTAGAGTTGCAAGCTTCTGAAGCAAAACTTTATTGAATAGAATGGAATTGAAACTCCTTAAGGTGTAAGCCCAACCAAGAAGATGCTGAACGTCCCAAGGAGTCCTGCTCATGTTGTTAATTCTGTTGGATCCTTTTTCTATCCTGGCAACTTGAAGTAAGTGCATTAACAAGTAAAAAGCACCTTACAAGACACCGTGAACCTGGCAACACCCTACAAAGCCGTGCAAAACCCTATGAAGCCCTAAATTAAGTTCCCTACAAGGAACCCAGTAGAACCCGTTTACACCCGTAGGCCCCATAGTAGCTCCTTTTTGGGATTACCTTATAGGATTCTAAACATGAACCCCAAAAAGGAACTACTTTGGGGCCTATGGGCAAAGCGTTGCAAACAAGATACAAACCGAGCTCACGAAACAAGAAGGGAAGCCCAAGTTCCTGAAGCAAAAGTCCTACGTTCATCCCTAACCCCCCAGGTGGCTACTATATAGGGCCCCAGGGGCTCTAGTACCCTATATAGTATAGATACCTGGGGGGTTAGGCCATGTTGGAACGAACCCAGGGGCAGCTTCTGAAGCAAACTTGTCCAGGCGCTGGCACAAGCCGTCCTGAGCCATGAGGGTCGTCTTCGAAATTGTAGGGTCCCTTTTGGGGTCGGGGCCGTGCCATTTTCGGGGGACCTAAAACGGGACCGGAATTTTAGAGAACTATCCATGACTAGCCTGATGCCTTGCTGAGTGATCAGGGTGCGCTCATACGAAACTCGTGGAACAAAGGGCTTGTAGTGACGTGGTTCCAAAGCTTACAGCGATAAGAGGTTTTCGGGCGCAAGCTGCGATCCTCGCTTCTTGCTTTCGATGCTGACTTGAAGCAGCTCTGCGTGTTTTCTGCTCCTCAAGCATGAAGCAATAGTACTCGGGACATTTTTCGTTCAGAGGTAGAGCACGACAAAATCAACCCATCCGCAACCCTCAACTCTAACTTCATAAACCTTAGTCAAGCCTCGATCTTGAAACGTCTGAAGCCTAATTCCTCGACCCAATTACTTCTGCAGGGACTTTAATCAAGGCCGGATTCTTGAATGATCACAGTACGAATACCCCTTGCAGTTCCTATATGAGTGTACGACCATCTAACCCTGAATTTCCTAATTTTGAAGCAAACATTGCAAGTTCATCCCCGCAGGGTGCCCAATCATTTCAACAGCACTGCAGAGCCGTAGCAAACCAGCAGGAACAAGGTTTAGGGTTTAGGGTTTAGGGTTTAGGGTTTAGGGGTCCACCGTTCCCTTTCAACAACCCTCTTCTGCCAAACATCCCGATGAGGAACTTAGTTTGAGATACATGCGGGCTATATGTCTATATACGAGTAGCTATACTCAGTCATCACATGTACCCCACAACTACATACCATGCTGCTTCCCTGATTGCGCTAATACTTTAATACTTCAAACAGCATGATCACTTGTGAATAAATAAACATATAATTAAATACAAAAACACATGACAAATGTATCTATGTATGTATGTATGTATGTATGTATGTATGTATGTATGTATGTATGTATTTATATGCACGTATATACACACGCACACACAATTTTCATGTGTTCTTGGATGCAAGAGACAGACAGGAACATGCTTTTTTTCTGCCAGCTGACCGAGATCATGCCCTAAACCCTAAACCCTAAACCCTAAACCCAGACTATGCATCTACTGCCTCCAAGCGTCCGCAGTTTGGGCGAGGCCCAGGAAAAGAGCCTTTACCCATGGACTGCCTCGGCACAGAACTTAGGTGCGTATAATGTCGGGGCCTGAATTACTAGAATTGGGCACTGAATGTGGCTTTTTCGATAAAAATTCACGGAATAGAAATACGAATTATTGAGTTATAACGGACTAGATTTTCGAATTATTCTGACCTCTGTTTCCGAAATCCCTGAATCATACAGTAGAGGCCGGAAAGTTGGAACGCCGCCGCCCTCATACCCATAAGGTAAAGCACAAGGAACCACAGGACTAATCATCCTTAGCCCCCGCTCCAACTTTCGAGCAATGAGGTCAACTGCAGACTCCTGCCCCTCAACTCGCGAGAGCACTAACTCTGCGATCAAAAAAGCAAACCTGCCAACCCCTTCTTGAAGGAGATTCGGCCAGAGATCCAGCTGCCGAGTTAGAGGGCAAAGGGCCTTAATAATTTTACTAGGGTACTAGGGTTTTGGGGCCCATTATGCTATAATTCTAACAAGGAGCCCCCCAAAAGTATTGGTAATTCGTAATATATTACGGACCTAGGATCTTGAAGCGTCACAGATTGGGTGCATGTCAGGGCACGTAGAAGCTGGGCCCAGGAAGCGTCGAGTACGAGGGCGAGCTCGGCGCTAAACGGCAACTCCTGTTTCAGAATGAAGTGATGAGGGAGAACGGCTTAAGAACAGAAGTGCTTGAACATGCTTTCAGAGTCCCAGCCAGGGGAGCTTTCCAAGAAAGAACGTCCTGGGCTTCAGTTGCAAAGGCCAGGCGCGGCCTGTTGACGGCAAAAGAACTGCAAACCCTAAACCCACAAAGGTTCCTGAGGATCCACGAAGAAGCTCGCAGCTAGCACCATATTCGTGTGTTACTTCCGAGTGCTCCCTGAAAAGGGCCACAAGCTTAGCAGACTCTCAGGGTTTGGGGTATAGTGTTTGGAACAGGCTTTGGGGAAGTTCAAGAACCAAGTCCTTAGATCCCTGCCTACCACTCCCTGTAGGCTTCGAAGTCCTTTCCATCGGCTGCAGGTGTAGCAGACAAGCATAGACTCGAAAGTCTGCAGGGCTTGATATAGGGGCCTGAACAACTAGAATGGACGGGGTTTTGTGGTATTTTGTACTACAATCGTAATAGGAACCCTTTAGAGTAACAGCCATGGGCAACAAACCAGGCTTCTGCATTCCACCATTCAAGCGGCCCTGGCACTGCATCGGGATGCAGGAGTTTCAAGGCCGCGGACTTGATGTTACATGCCACTGTTTAGTAATCGACTTCATATGAACGAACAGACACACACACACATGATACACACATCGTGTGAATCTCTCTCTCTCTATATATATATATACATATATATATATATGTATGTGTATATATATATATATATGGCGGGATGTGCAATGTGTGTGTGTGTGCGCGCATGTATACAAGGCATGAAGGTCTGTCTGCAGATATGCATGTATGTAGGAAATGAACCTGGCCAGGAATGGAAACGTAAGCACTTGGTGGGAGTGCTACGACAGGACAACGATGCGGTGCATGGATGTTCTGGAAAGCTTCATATCGGAGCATGCCTCCAGCCGTGATGATAAGATGCCGCCGCCCACATATGCCTCGGCACATATCTTTCAGCTTTACTACTGCGAGGGTTTCGAGGGGTCGAGGGCCGAACAAGACCTCCAGAATTTCCACCTCAGCCCTCTGGGAGTTTCCGAAGATAGGGGACCCGAATCTAGTACCCTAACTAGTAGGATCCCTATTAGAAGAATCCCGAAAAGTATAAGGTACCCCTTATTTTCGGAAACTCCCATGTGTTCATGATTCCAAGCCAACGCCTTCTCCTCATGCTCGACCAAGGCTGTTCAGTGTACTCCTTTTCGTACCTCAAAAGCAGCCACCACAGGCCATATGTTGATCCCTGAGATGCCACACATACTATACTATAGCCCACCTGAAACATCACGGAAACATCATAAACGAAATCACATCACAAACAAACAAGGACTGACTCAGACCTGGCTATAGTGCTCGAGGTTTACATAACAGGGTCCCAAAATGAAGCACTACAGAACCCTGTGAGAACGACATTCGAATTTTGCAGAACCCAGTGTAGTACTACGGATACCCCTCGCTCGTGCGCCGGGCTGCAGGATGCGAATTGCTGCGCCAGCCACGGGGCAGGTGGCGAAGGCTGGCGAGTTCCTTGAACCATAGGAGTCTCTCTAGACCCCTCTAGCACACTGTCCGATTTTTGCGACGTCTATGACGCTTCAACGGCTGTTTACCATGGGTTGGTTGGTGCCTTCCTTCTATGATGGTAAGCGTTGAGGTTATTTCACGGTTTTACAAATTTTACAAACCTAAAACCTTTCGCAACTGGTTGGCAATGTCGCACTAGGACAGCTGACTCCTTCCAGGCTGCACTCGTACCCTTTTTACACAGCTTGATTGGAGCTCCCCCGGCCAATTTCCCTCGCGAGTGCCCTAAACCCTAAACCGTAAGGTTTGCGGTTGGGCTCTCACAAAATAGGTTCTTGTTTGGCTTATATAGTGCTTAGCCTGCACTGAACCGTGAAGCCGAAGAAGTTAAGGCTTTTGCCAAGCAACTGTATACGGGTTTCTGTGCGGCAACAATACCTACTACATGATACTATTCCTGACGGCTTGTCAACATGTAGTAACTTACACACACACATCTATGTATGTGTGTGTATATATATTTCTTGTTATTCAACATTTGTATTTAGAATGTAGAGTTTAGACACAAAAGACCCTGTAGGGTACTTGGATCCTTCGGGAAGGCCTCAAGCAGCAGAGCCGTCGGCCCAGTGCGAATGAATCCACAATAGTCAGCCTAAACCCTAAGCCCTAAACCCTGAACCCTAAACCCAAACCCTAAACCCTAAAAGGAATTAACCCAGTGTCCGAGCTGGTGACCCCAAAGCTGCATGCTTTTGCTTATACGAGGGTCTTATCATTTAGCAACAGTACCCCTCTGGCCCCCCCTATATAGTTCACTCAAGGGAACTCATATTTGTACAATAATCACGCAATACCAACGAACTCCTGCTTCGATTTTTCCTGACCCTCAACTACACAGCTCAGGCCTTTGGACTCTTTAGTTTAGAGTTGCCTGGATGCCCATACTTCTTCTACTGAAGGGTGCCCCTACTGTTCCTGTGGCTTCGTGCGACGGCTATGCGCCCCAATCACAAGCCCAAAACCATGCACCCCTGAAGCTCCACAGCGCCCCTCAACCCGCATACAAAAAGTCGATCCAAGTCATGGTTCACGTGATGCAATGCAGCTTCCACGAGATTTTGCTGCAGCTCTCCACCTCATGCAGCAATACCACTAGCCTTTGAGTTGCAGTAGTCTTCACAGCCTGTTTCAGCCTCCAAATCCTTAAATGCCGTTAGGATCCACGTGCCCAAAAACAACTCGAAACTTAAGCTGTGCAAGGGCTCCTATACAACTAATCCCTGTCACCAAGGGAAACTTTCGTGGAGGCGACAGGCGGCACATCATATTTCACAACACAAGAATCCGCTTCTGCAGGGCGTTTGATGGTTGCAGCGAAAACCCCCTAGTAGTAGGTACCAAGAATATAAAGAATTGACATCATCGCGATCATGGTGAACATGGCCAGGAAGATTGAAGGCAGTAGTGTAAGGCTAGTGAAAATGTCAGATATATACCAGAAGGGTCACGTTTGCAGTAGTTTTGAGACGCTAAGTAGTAGATAGTAGAAAGGAGAAAAGCAGCGTAGCAGCACTTGGACTACAGCCAGAGGGAGCCAGCATCCGAGTGCCGTTCTCACCGTCTGTGTATGTTGATCGCATTGGGAGGATGGTTCTGCCTGTTATTTTTGACATTTTGCTTTGGTCGTCGGCTGCTGGTCTGATTTGTAACACTCCTGGATGCAGTGTTTCTTGATGTCGTCTCACCTAGTATAGTTATGTTTTCATGGAGATTGAGAGAGTTTACACACGGCTCTCATCAGCTGTGGAAGCGGGCACTTTCAAAGTCTTGGGATTCCAAAACCCTGAACCCTACAGCATCAGGGCTTGTGCAATCGCCTGAATGTCTGAGCATACGGAGGTTCATCTCTCATCCCAAACCCTAAACCCCATAAACCCAAAGAGCCTAGTCAATCTTCAACTCTGTGGCTGAGACGAGGGTCAGAAGATGCACTGGTAGCCTGTCGTGTCACGGGCACAAGCCCAAAGCCACAACCCAAAACCGAACCCTAAACCCAGCAGTGGGTAATTCTCTAAACTAGTGTCCCTGTTGGGGTCCCTTTTATAATAGGGTGCCGTGCTGTTTGGGACATAAAACGGACCCGACTTTAGAGAACGCACCCCAGCCAGTGTCCCAACACGCTCCACCTCGAGTCATCGCCGCACGGACAGCACGGCTCGCTTGCCCGCGGAGGTGCCTGAAAGTTCGGTGAGAATACACTATAACATTTTATGGTATAGTATATAGTATACAGTATCTAGTATACAGTATATAGTATATGGTATATAGTATAATAGAGTATACTGTAGCGAGAGGTAGTTCGGGGAGGGATTCTCGGCTTCGGACGACAATAGCCACCTCTTGCAAGCAACTCCGAAACATGAGCCGGCCTCAGCTATCTGTATCAGCAACGTTCGAAAATTTCTGGGTGTTCCTGTCAATCTGCCCTTTTACACGACACTTCACCACGGGCTTGGACAACCGAACCTCACACAGTTCCGATCGGTACCCATGCCTCGACGTCCAATCGCAGCGAGCAGGATCTTCGGGTATCTGATACAGGTTTGCAGCCAAGCCGGCTGCTTCCGGCCATTCGCTGTTGCAGCTTGAGAAGGTGTCGCAGATAGGACCATCGAGGCCGAAGTACACGCAACCAATTGTGTGACGACAGATGTCTGCGCAATGCTGCAGTGTCAGGTTCAGTTCCCACGAAAACTCACTCCGATAGATCGGGCGTGGCCGAGCACAGAACTGCGGCTGAAACTCGGGTTGCCCATCTGAGGAACACTCGGCCGGCTTATTGCAGGTCTCGCTGAACTCGTCGGTTGCAGCCAAGCAGCCCAGGGTCCAAATGGCAATACAAACATAGCCACGGCAAGCTCCCATGGGCGACGCGAAGAATCGAATGAAGGAGCATAGGTATTGCTTCTGGATGATGATGATGATGATGGTGATGATGTTAATGATGCTGATGACTTTGTGTTCTTATTGCGTTACTTCTCCATTGGTGACTGTTTTAACATGTTTTGGCATGCTCTTTTGCTGCTTTCTTATTCTTTTTCTGGAAACGAATAATACTGATGCTACGGTGGTGGTTGCTATTGTAAACATATACTTGACCCTACAGAGCAACTCCCTCACCGGGAGAAGGACAAGAAGATAGGACCTGATTTCCTTGTACTCCTGCTGCTCTTAAACCCCCTAAAATAAAGCTCGTCTCTCACATCCTCAGTCTACGCAAGCATACGCGCTAAAATGGGGTGATGTGCAGGTACTTTGAATCGATCAATGCTGCAGAACGCAACTTGCTTCATGACCATGTACGCGTTCAGGACTTGTGGGTTTGGGGATTTAAGCAGGAAATCAGGGGCGCGGGGCAAGTTTCTCAGCTTAAGGCTTGACAAGTCTCTAAGCTTAAGGCTTGACTTGAGGTTCAAGATCAAGTTTTCGGAGGTGCCCCCCTGTCATGGAAGCAGGCTGTCACGCATCTGGGCACCCGGTACACTGCATAGACAGCGAAGCCTCGAGGAACTTATCCAGACTCAGCCTCAGCTGCATCGGAAGGTGGGTTTCGGGTGTTGAAGGCTGCTCTACGAATTTACATCTCCTGAAGGTGTCGAAATCTGGCCAAGAGACATCTTCTCCAGATGCTCGTCGTAGAGAACAAAGGCACCGGCCTCGAGAAAGCGAACTCCACCACCCGAATCTTAAATCTTAAACTCAAAACCTTGAATGACCTGCGAGTTTTGCAGCTGAGGCCGTAAGGGCCCCACTAGCATAGGGGCCTGAATCATAGTAGATACAGGTTTAGGGGCAGATGATAGTATCATTACAGGGGGCCAGTAAGGGTTTGTTGTAGATGATAGTATGCTTGCAGAAGAAATACGAGCATAATATTCTGATTGTAGCCTTCAAAGACCCCGATTTCCGGCAGCCTGGCATGTGGCCCAGGCTCAGAACATTGTCTGGGTTTGCTCCCGTAAGCCTTGGCCCTAAACCCTAAACCCTAAAGCCTTAGCCCTCAACTCTATTCAGACATGCCAGAAGCAAAGCACACTCGAGAATTTCTTCTAACAAACGCCGAACCTGGCCAGCAGCAACAGAAGCTCAGCGTTAGGGCTTACTTAGGGTAGTTGGGGTTTCTGGCTACTTTTGTGTCGATTGCTGCTGATTGAATGCTGTTGCGAGGATGTAACTCGGTACGCTCCCTACCGGGAACGTGCCTTAGGTCGCCTCTTCATTTATGCAGTGCACTTACCAGGGCTGCGGCTACTGTGAGGGAGTCGGCTGCGAGGCCGCGGCCTCTCGAAAGCTAGCTCGGTGCAAAAAGGGTTGCTATTCAGACTCGGGTGTTGGGGCCTCTCATATATTTTGTAGTATGTGTGTGCATAGGATTCTGCGCTTATGCACGTATGTTCATGTGTATGTATGTACATATGTACGGATGTACCTATGTATGTATGCATGCATGTATGCATGTTTGTTTGAATGTGTGTGGCTGTATATGCATGTAATGAAGACTACTCCTATATTTGCGGCTGAAAGGATATGTATGCAAACACAAGTAGACGGTTAGCTAAATAAAAGTATGTATATGCACATATATACTTGTATTTCTCTTTGCGCAGTCTTTGTGTGCACATAAAGACTAAAGAGAGTGCGAGAGAGCGAAGAGAGAAAGAGAGAGAAAACAAAGAGTGAGAGAGACGATCATGTAGAATGTGTCTTGGGACTCGGGCTACGGCAAATACACTCGAACTTCCGCCACCAAATTTTAGTATTGACTATCTTACAATTCGAGTCGTGGTTGCTAGTTTAGGGTTTAGTTCAGTTTACGGTTCAGGCTCCTACCCATAGGCCCCATAGTAGTTCCTTCTTGGGATTACCCTATAGGAATCTAAATATGAACCCCAAAAAGGAACTACTTTGGGGCCTATGGGTAGCTTAAGGATTGGACTCTCGCAGTTCGGACTGTGCAGGCGAGGAGGTTCGGATATGTTCGGATCGAAAGCGCTGGACACGTTGGTCCGTCCGGTTTGCAAAAACGCACCAGTCCCTAGGTACCTACCATATAGGGTACTAGAGCCCCTAAGGCCCTATATAGTAGGTACCTGGAAGGTTAGGGAGTGATCTTGGATGAATGAGATCAACAACCGTGAAACATGACAGCCCCCGCATCGAATACGAGACGCATGCAGCTCTGGCATGATCCTTCAAAGATATTGGTCTCAACGAGCACCCTGAAATCCATGCACCATACACCGCGTGGCTTCAGGAATGTCGCTGTTGTCAAGATGTATTTCGCACTTCCGGTGAGAGAAGCACATAAAGTCGGATTCTGTTCATCATGTGTAAGCATAATTAAGCATAATATAACCCTAAGGGTCCACGTACTCACATAGTATCTACATTGGCCCAAAAGTACCTATATAGGGACTACTTTTAAGGCCAAGGTATTTACTATTTGGGTACATGGACCCTCAGGGTAACGATTCACGGTGTTCTAAACACAGCCCACGACGCTTCCTGGAACCCTTTGGGCCGAGGTTGCAGGCTCCGAGCCTGTCTGCCCTCGACCCCGAAACAGGCAAAGATCTTGCCTGTAGTCTCCATTGTAGTTCATTTTTTTGGTTGAACCAATAATATATTAAGGATTTTATAAGGCATCCCCAAAGAGG